CAGGGTTTCCTTACTGTTAAGTGGACCCTCATTCTTAGGTGAAGAAGTGCCAAGGTTTCCCTTATCCTGTGAAGAATCTTGCCCAGGAGATGAATGAAGCCAATGCTTTTGTCCATTTGATACTAAAATCTGGCTTTCATATTTTGGTAAAATAAGGCATTTTCTCTGATGTGTACAGGCTCGTAATGACAATGTAGAAATGGAGGTTATACTAGATGGATTACATCTCAGATGTAAAGTCCTTAGTAGAAACATTCTTAAAGCAAGCCTAAATGTAAAAAAAGAAACAAAATATTAGATTGCAGTGGCATAAAATGCAGTCAAATATGATCATACATCATCCTCAATGCAAAGTTCAATGTAATGCTACAGTCTGATTGGACACTGTCCTTTAGACCTACCAATAACTATGAAGACCTGCCTGATTTGATACACATTGACTGGATAGATTTAATCGGTCCTCATATTACAAAGGTTGGGTAAAACTAAGGTTGACAGTTGTACAGTCAGATTGTAACATGTGTAGTAATGGTGCAGGTATTCTGCACTTAAGCATTTGCTCCATACTGCCAACCTAACTAGATGACCATCAGCACCAAAGTTTAAACTACTCCTATTTGTGGACCAAAGTATTGCAGAAGGACAGTGAAGTGCTGTTGGTTGAATGGCTAAAGGCTGCACACTCCCCAGGAATGAGATCCACTCAGTGGACAGAAACAAAACAACTTTTTAACATTTTACACATAGTACAGTCATTGATCACTATATACAGTGGATATAAAGTCTACACACCCTTGTTAAAATGTCAGGTTTCTGTGATGTAAAAAAAATGAGACAAAAGACAAATCATTTCAGAACTTTTTCCACCTGTAATGTGACCTATAAACTGTACAACTCAATTGAAAAACAAACTGAAATCTTTTAGGGGGAGTAAACATAAAAAAAACTAAAATAATGTGGTTGCATGAGTGTGCACACCCTCTTAACTGTGTTCAGAATTAAGCACATTCAAAATCATGTTAAATAGGAGTCAGTACACACCTGCCATCACTTAAAGTGCCTCTGATTAACCCCAAATAAAGTTCAGCTGTTCTAGTAGGTTTTTCGGGACATTTTCTTAGTTGCATCTTACAGCAAAAGCCATGATCCACAGAGAGCTTCCAAAGCATCAGAGGGATCTCATTGTTAAAATCAGTATCTGCATCAGTCAGGAGAAGGGTACAAAAGAATTTACAAGGCATTAGATATACCATGGAACACAGTGAAGACAGTCATCAAGTGGAGAAAATATGGTGCAACAGCGACATTCCCAAGAACTGGACATCCCTCAAAAATTGATGAAGACAAGAAGAAAACTGGTCTGAAAGGCTGCCAAGAGGCCTACAGCAACATCAAAGGAGCTGCAAGAATATCTGGCAAGTACTGGCTGTGTGGTACATGTGACAACAATCTCCCGTATTCTTCATATGTCTGGGCTGTGGGGTAGAGTGGCAAGACGGAAGCCTTTTCTTAAAAAAAACATTCAAGCCTGGCTAAATTTTGCAAAAACACATCTTAAGTCTCCTAAAAGCATGTCAGAAAATGTGTTCCCACCCACAGTGAAGCATGGTGGTGGCAGCATCATGCTTTGGGGCTGTTTATCGAACTGGGACCTTAGTCAAGGTAGAGGGAAATATCAACAGTTCTAAACACCAGTCAATATTGGCACGAAGCCTTCAGGCTTCTGCTAGAAAGCTGAAAGATGACGTTCCTCTTCACGATCAGCTTTCTAGCAGAAGCCTGAAGGCTTTGTGCCAATATTGACTGGTGTTTAGAACTGTCGATAATTCCCTCTACCTTGACTAAGGCCCCAGTTCGATAAACAGCCTCAAAGCATGATGCTGCCACCACCATGCTTCACTGAGGGTGGGAACACATTTTCTGACATGCTTTTGGGAGACTTAAGATGCATTTTTTTTGACAACGACCCAAAGCATACTTTCAAAGCAACAAAAGAATGGGTTCACCAGAAGATTAAAGTTTTGGAATGGCCCAGCCAGAGCCCACACATGAATCTGATTGAAAATGTGCAAATATTGCCAAGTCAAGATGTGCAATGCTGATAGACTCATACTCAAAAAGACTGAGTGCTGTAATAAAATCAAAAGGTGCTTCAACAAAGAATTAGCTAAGGGTGTGCACACTTATGTATTCAACCATATGTATTCAACCATATTACTTTAGTTTTTTATGTTTACTCCCCCCCCCCCCCCTAAAAGATTTCAGTTTGTTTTTCAATTGAGTTGTACAGTTTATAGGTCACATTAAAAGGTGGAAAAGTTCTGAAATTATTTATCTGTGTCTCATTTTTTTTTACATCACAGAAACCTGACGTTTTAACAGGGGTGTGTAGACTTTTTATATCCACTGTAAGAATATGGTACAACTAATAATTGCATGCAAAAAAAGGAATGCCTGTTTCTAAGTTTTGGGTTTTTTTTTAACTTCTAAACTTCAGGTCCACTGGGTCCTTATACAACCGAGAACTCAATAAAAATAATAAATGCATCAGAAGAACAGAAAATAAATGATTGATTACTGTACCTTATGTGAACAGATTTGGTAATTCAAAACAACATGTAGACAAGCACCTTTAAAGCATTGTCAAAATGATGCTACATTTGTGGCCAACATATTGGATTAGATACAAGTCTGACTGTCAATGCCTGTGCAAAAAGAAAAAAAAAAAAAAGCTATTATTTCATGCACAAAGGCTATATAAAAGCTCACTAGAAAAGTGCCCAGAGGCATGGACATTACTATTGAATGACTGAGCGGATTACAGTCAGATCAGAATTCAGTCATTCTATGGGTACTCTCAAACCTCTGATACTTTGGCCAGGTAATCTAAAGACTTGAATGTCTAATTGTGAACAACTGAACTAGTAGAACCCGTTACATAAGTTACCTCTAGTAAAGTGTATCCTACGTTCTTGCTGCTCTAAAAATATGCCCTTCAGTGAAGTCAGACACTCACTACAGGGGTGAACGGCTGGCGCTGCGGGGGATTAATAACAGCTGCTGAAGATTCATGATGTTTGCCCTCTCCTTCCTGTCAGATAGCCCATTCACAACATTATTGCTCTTCCAGAATGCAAGTCTGTGACTAGGCAGCGGAGATCCTATCATGTCAATTTGCATTCTGGGAGAAGAATATCTGGGATCTTGTAAATGATTGAGGAGAAAAGAAGCAGAGGATGAGTGATGTGTCCTTCAAAATCATGGCCACTGTCGGAAGACCACTGCTGTGCAGAGTATCCATCGTCACTGGAGGCAGGATTTTTGCAGTAAAGAATTAAACTGCTGCCACTACAACCCAATTGCAGGGCTATAGCATTCTTCACTCACCATACCTGACAAGCAGTCTCGAATCTGCACACAAAAGTACTCCATAGCAAGGTGAAGTCAGCAACAAGGTGAGTATTAAAAAAATTAATCTTTATTCAATCAAAAAAGGAGTACATATGTTCCAAAATGGAGCCAACTGACATGTTTCAGCCCATCAGCAGGGCTGGTTCTTGCCGGTCTTATATGGGTGTGCAGTAAAAAATGTCAAAGGGGCAGAGAGAGAAGAAGAAGGGGGGAGGGGGAGAGGAGAGAGAAGGAGAAGGGGGGAAAGAAGGAGAAGAAGGGGGGAGGGGAGAGAAGGAGAAGAAGGAGTGGGAGGGGAGAGGAGAAGAAGGGGAAAGGGGGGGAGGGAAGAGAGAAGGAGAAGGGGGAGAGAAGGAGAAGGGGGGAGGGGAGAGAAGGAGAAGGGGGAGGGGAGAGAAGGAGAAGAAGGAGAAGAAGAGGGGAGGGGATAGAGGAGAGAAGGAGAAGGGGGGAGGGGAGAGAGAGAGAGAGAAGGAGAAGGAGGGGGGGACAGGAGAGAAGAGAGAAGGAGACAGGAGAGAAGGAGGGGGGAAAAGGAGAGAAGGAGGGGGGGAAAGATTAGAGAAGGAGAAGGGGGGGGGGGAGGAGAGAAGGAGGGGGGAGAGAGGAGAGAAGGAGAAGGAGGGGGGGAGGAGAGAAGAGAAGGAGGGGGGGAGGAGAGAAGAGAAGGAGGGGGGGAGGAGAGAAGAGAAGGAGGGGGGGAGAGAGTGCACATCAGTGATGCCTGTCAATGCCCATCAGTGCCACCCACCAGTGCCTGATCAGTGCCACCTATCAGTGTCCATCAGTGCAGCCTATCAGTGCCCATCACTGCAGGCTCATCAGCACACATCAGTGAAGGAGAAAAATCACTTATTTACAAAATTTTATAACAAAAACTAAGAAAAAACTTTTTTTTCAAAATTTTCAGTGGTTTTTGGTTTAAGAAAAAATAAAAAACCCAGAAGTGATTAAATACCACCAAAATAAAGCTCGGTCACAAAAAAATGATGAAAATTTCATATGGGTACAGTATTGCATGACCGCGCAATTGTCATTCAAAGTGCAACAGCGCTGAAAGCTGGAAATTGGCCTGGGCATGAAGGGGGTATAAGTGCCCTGTAGGCAAGTGGTTAAAAAGAAAAAAGAAAAAAAAACGAAAAAAAAAAAACAAAACACAAAACCCCATACTTCTCTTTTAAAGTATAACTCAACCTATTAAGAGCTTGGCTGGGAAAGAAAACGTTCCACATGCCATAAAACCAAGACAAACAAAACACTCTCAATCCAAATATGTTAAAATAACAGCAATCTTAGAGAAACAAAAGTGGATACAAATAGATTACTATATGAAGTATTATATAATGTACAGCAGGGCTTAAAATTTCGAGTCTAGACCTACTAGCCAGGCACAAACCCTACTCTCCAACAGTTGCCCCACCCAACCTTGCCCAGGTCCACCTTCAACCCCACCCCCGGCCCATCCCCCACCCCAAGCCCTGCCCCCAACCACACCCCCTTAAAGCTTATGAAATTACATTTTTATTTAGAATAAAGAGTCCAAAATATAAAAAACTGCAATTATAACATAGCTTTATTATGTCAATTTAAAAGCAAAAAAAGGCCGACAATTTTGAAAAAAAAATATATATATATTTGACTTTTTGCTATTAAACATGTCTAGTACAAAAATGTAAAAAAAATCAAATAAATTTACACCAAATTGTATTCTGCTACATGTCCCAATACGTGTAAATTAATTGGTTTACGTGTAAGTTACTGCGTTTGCAAATGGCGGTATAGATACTGGAATTTTGTTTTCTTTTAACTTGATTTTTACTAGTAATGGCGGTGATCAGCGACCTATAGTGGGACTGCAGCAGGCATTCTGACACTGGGGGGAGACTGACTTGGTGCCACTGATATCCACAGTGACACCAATATCGTGATCAGTGCTAATAAAAAGCACTGACACTGTACGAATGGCACTGGGCAGGAAGGGGTTAACATCTGGGGCGATCAAAGGGTTAACTGTGTGCTTTGTGTGTTTTATTATGGGGCTGTGTGTGTGCTTTTAGCAGCTGGTGCTCCCCATTCCCAACACAAGGATGGCCACCTCCAACCTGCCGGATCCTGTGCACACCCTGCGACAGCCACCGATGCCCTCCTGCCTGGCGTGGCCTTCCTGCGCTCGATTCACCTCCCGCTCCGGCTCAGTCACCGGTGTAAGGATTTATGAATGAAGCTCGGAGAGGAAGCCCTGCCCACCCGGCACACGTGTATCTTGCCAAGCTGTGGGCAGGGGAGGTGGTGGTGGCGGGAGATAACAGGAGAAGGGGAGCTGTGCACCTGAAGGCACGCACAGAGCTCTCCTCAGGGTGTAACGTGCTAGACTCTGCCTTTCTCCTGTCTTGTGCAGAGTGTCAGCACCCACTCGCCCCCACATTATTTCCACTCGCCAAATGCAACCAGGCGAATGGAAATTTCAAGGCCTGATGTACATATCTTGTCATAAGACAAGTAAACTTACCTGGAAGGGGGGGGGGGGGGGGGGGGAGACAAATAATGATACAATATTAGCTGAGATGTAAATCCAAGTCCCACCTTCATTTTAACCCTTGGGGTGATTTGTAGGCAGGCTATGAATCCACTATGTTTCTTTACCTAAGAACATCTGGTGTCAGTCGGCCCCTCTAGGTGACACCAATACCCTTACTATACCACAATACCTAAAAAAAAGTGGTATCACTCCTTGGAATATGTGGTGACAAACCTCACTCCTCCTTTATGCATATTTCTCCTCTTATTGTACCTTTTTCTCATTATTCTTGCTATGACTTGCAGAAAGGAGATCATTATGGTCATGCTGTTTAGCTGTCCTGATATCCCAGTCAATACTCCACACAGGAAAACCACTTTCCAAAAGTTGTGTTAATGATTTTACACTCAACTTTAAACATCTCAGAGGACCGATTCCTCGGTGCCCCAATAAATTCCCCTACTGGTAGTTCTGGATTTTTGCAGTAACTAGCAGAATATGGGACACACTTTGTTAGAAGTAAAATCATGCGACAGGTGTTGTGCGCTTAAGAGGGGAAAAAAAAAAAAAAGGATATCGACTTACCAGTAATTTCCATATCTTGGAATACAGTACAGGACACAGTATTATACAAAGTATTGATAGACTGTGGGCTATAGGTTCATACCTTCAGCTGAAGCTTTTTAGGACTAGCTCCCTCCTACTACACTCAGTTTGGTGGCAAACTATGCAGAGTAATCCAGGATAAAAAGAAAGGGCGACCTGTGTCCTGTACACACTGGTGCCCAAATTGTGGATACACATTAGATTTTTACAAACTTTTTCAGTTTAAAGTATTTTTTTATATAAAAATCTCTACAAATGTCATAGCACAAGTAAAATTTAATATAGTAAATGGATGCCTTAACAAAAAATCTTTAAATAAGTTCAATTTTGGCTGGAAATGTACCATAATGCATCTTGGCTATTATATAGCATAAAAATGATAATTTCAAGTTTGTCACAATGTGTTTTTTAACTATTGCCTGACACCTTCTAGGCATTGACTCTACAAGTCTTTTGACATCCTCTTCTGTGATCAAATGATGCCAGGAATTGATTATAGTCTCAGTGAGTCCTCGCTTGTTGCTTGGATTCTTGCTCAAGACCATGTGTTTCAATCTTGACCACAGATTTTTGATGGGATTTAAGTCAGGGCTATTTCCAGGCCAGGGAAGCAGAGAAATTTTTTTGTCATTGAACCATTTAAGGCATTTTTGAGCTGTATGGCATTGAGCTCCATCCTGTTGAAAAGTAAATTCTGTGCCTTTGTCCGCTAAGTCGCTTATTGACGGGATCAACTTTGATTCCAGGCCCTTTTTGATGTATTGCTCTGCATTAATAATCCCATCAATAACCTATATTCATCCAACACCATATCAAGACATGCAGCTCCAAATCATGACGCTTTGAGGGTGTTTCATTGTTGCTGTCATGCACTCAAGGAAGGCATTCTTTACCTGACCTTCTTCGCATGTATCGAACACCACCACTTCCGAAAATAGAAATTTGTGTTTCATCACTCCAAATAATTTTTTATCCAATCTTCTGTTGTCCAATTTTGATGTTCCTTGGCCCAGTCGACTCTTTTCTCTCTTTGTTGGCAGTTCAAAAATGTTTTGTTTTTCTTAGTATTCAAGTTCTTAATCCAGCAGCAACAAGTCGACTTCTTACTGTTTGGTTAGACACTGACAGTCCTCCATCTGACAACACCTTGTTGATATCCTTGGCAGAGGATTTTCTATTCTGCAAAGCAAGTCTTGCAATTCTTCTGGCAGTTTTGGTTGTTGTAGCTTTTTTCCTTCCTCTGCCTTGCTGTGTTGATACTTTTGGTGTTCGTAAATAGTGTACACAGCTTCTGGACTCCGGATACAGAAACTCCTTGACCCATTTTTCTGGCAATTTCGCTAAACTAGAACCTTCATTTCTTAATGTTATTGCTGTTACTTTTTTCTTTGGTGACCAGTCTGACCTTTTAATTGATGGCATCATTCATTTCTACAAATATAGTTGTTTAACCACTAGCCTACAGGGCACTTATACCTGCCCAGGCCAATTTCCAGCGCTGTTGCACTTTGAATGACAATTGCGCGGTCATGTACCACTGTACCCATATGAAATTTTTATTATTTTTTGTGACAGATAGAGCTTTCTTTTGGTGGTATTTAATCACTTCTTGAGGCTGCAGTGATGGGCACTGATAGGCTGCACTGATGGGCACTGAAAGGCAGCACTCATATGGCACTGATAGGCGGCACTGACAGGCGGCAGTGATGCACACTGATAGGCGGCACTGATAGGTGGCACTGAAAGGCAGCTCAGATGGGCACTGAAATGTGGCACTGATGGGCACTGGCAGGTGGCATGGATGAGCACTGAGAGCTGGCACTGAAAGACACTTACAGGTGGCGCTGCTGGGGCTACACAGATCATCAGTGCTCTGATGATCTGTGTAGATGTCCCCTCCGAGGAATGCCGATTACCGGCTCACCTCTCCTCACGAGCTGTCAGCATGGGAGGAAGTGCCTGAGTACCTTACAAGGGCCCTAGACGAAAGTGATGATAAAATGCACAATCAATGGTGAGATGCAACACCTGGTGATCCAATTTAGACTGTTGGTGTAAGTTTTAGTGTCAAGTTAGAAAAACTTACACTTGTAAGTGAATACCAGATGTAGTCCCGTGTTTTTGCTCTAATGCTCAGATATGCAGGATGACCCTGCCTTACCTAGACACAAAACTTGTCCTTATATATCAGGGGTGCTCAACCATTTTAAGAGTCAGGGCCACCTAAGTGATTCGGTAACCAGTTGCGGGCCACAATGAAATGAAATGGTTCAGAATTTAACATTTTTATTTTGAATAGCACAATGAACATTTTCCCCGATGCCGCTGAATGCCGGTGGAGGGAGGAGGAGGAGAAGCCATCTTTCAGCAGTTGCAGGAGGAAAATGGAGAGGATCGGTTCCTGTATATTGACTCCCCTCCTGTCCAAGTGTAAAACAGAGTCTAATAGGGAGGCCACATGGGCCCCTTGGAGCATGGGACAGAGTCACCATTGCGACCCCTGATGCTACACCAGTGGTTGAGGGGTGAGATAAAAACTACCTTCCCTCAAACAAATGTAAATGAGCATTTACTGCCCTGAGCTCCAATAAGGCTGCTTTCACACTGATGTGCTGCAGTTTACCTGCACCGCGGATGCAGCACATTGCACCTACGGCTTTCCTGCACTTTGCAATAGACTACTTTTATATCTTGCATACTTTCTGAAAGCGCACCAAAACTCTTGCATTCAGTTAGAGGGCCACATCACAGGGCTCCAAGGGTCACAGGTTGAGCACTCCTGCTATATAGGATCCAAGCTTCACCTTTACAATGAGCATGTCCCTGAAGAGGTTTTTAGAGTCTGTGCCCTGAACCTGCATAGCACCCAGTGGCTAACTATACGAAGTGCTAAGGTGAGTGCCCATAGCACATCATTACAGGCCATCCCCAATGCATGGGGTCTGGCTATGGCTCCCAAGGTTACGAAGTTGCACTGCTTCCATTGCTGTATTCAAGTGTTACTAAACCCAGGATCCTGCATTCACTATATCTGGTCTCCCACAGCACACAGAACATGAAAATGCAATTACTTTAGTAAATATAAACAGCTAAATATCTTCTCTCATTAGCAGTAAGAGCAGCCTTGTGACTTCTATCAGTGTCCAGCAGAGCACTGATTAAAGCTTGTAGGAGGAGTTTTCATTCTCCCCTGATTTTCCTATGAGGCTGCATGACCCCTGTCTGGGTAGTGCTGATTTGCCCTGTGCCGATCACATGCACTCTCCCAAGAAAAAACAATGAAAAAAAATACTCTAGGAAAACACACCTCAATGAGCATGTGCAGCTTGCCCCCAAAGATCAGCAGATGGATTGGGGACAGTAGAAGAAGTGGAGGATCAGGGGAGACAGAATCAAACATCCTTTTTACAAAATGCAAAGGGATCAACCCTTTAGGTTCCACAGTGAGTATAGCAAGCATGCTTCACTGCATATGCAGACCAATTTTACTGTTGTTGGTTTAGTAACACTTTAAAAGAAAGTGAATAGTTGATTGAAGAATTAGAACATAAAATAAACTAGTTAAGCTAAGATTTATTTCTCCATAAAGAAGAGGTCCATCACCTTAGGACACAAGCAAAAAAAAAAAAAAAAAAAAAAATAGGATTCACAGAGTAAAGTAGGGTTATGGGTAGGGTTTTCCTTAAAAGCTTGCCAGTGTCTTATCATCTGTAAATACTGGTCTAAAACACAGGGTCTATGAATGCTCAGCCTGCGCCTTTTACTGTAAAGGTAAGATATTCTACCTCACAGCACTAAACATGAGGTATAGGCAACACAGCGGCAGGTAGGATTCCTACTACAGAGCTGCCTTCAAACGTTTTAGCCCAACTGACAAACACAAAGGCCTGAACATCTTCCTGATAGAATTTAGCAAACATAAAAAAAAAAAAGGACAGCCAGATGGAAGCCTTCAAGGCTTGAACAGAAGCTTGATGCTGAACAGCCCAGGAAACACTACTGTTCCTTGTGGAATGCGCCTTGACTAGGAAATGAGGAATCTTGCCCCTGATACCATAGGCCTGATAAATGAGCTGAAAATCCACCTCCTTAGAATGCTTAAAACAAAAAGATAGCAACACAATACTGATGGGGGAAAGAGGACGAAGTCTCAAAACCACCTTATCCTGGTAAAGAACCAGGTAAGGTTCCATGCAGGAAATGGCATACAATTCCAAGAACCTGCAAGTTGAAGTAAAGGCAACCAAAAAGAAAAAACTTGAACATAAGACCGACAAGGGAATCTCCGAAGAAGGTTTAAAAAATCTGCAAAACAGACAAGACCAAATTAAGGTCCTATGGGGACAAGGGCTGGCACACAGGCAGAACAATCCATGTGACACTGCACAAAGGATTTTACGAAAGAAAGAGATGCAATAGGTCTCTGAAACAAAATGGCCAAGGGTGACATCTGTCTCTTGATGGTAAATTAAAGCCAGAGAAATCCACACCTCAAACTGGTTTAAACTAAAATACTGTCAGGGATGAAACTTACAAGCCTTACACAAGACAAAAAGGGTTTTCCATGTATGGTGGTACAACTTCTTGGAGGTCAACTTTCTTGCCTTGAGGAAAGTAGAGATCACAAAGTCAGAAACACCCCTATCCTTGGAGACTTGGGCTTCAAAAACCATGCCGTCAAAGTTTGACTGAAAGACTCCATTCACACCTGATCTCAAAGCGTCAAAGCGCTTGGGAATAAAAATGAATTATTCTCAATGGAGATGGTTCACATCTCTACTCCAAGTTGCCTGAAGCCAAATGCTTTAAGTTCAAACAAGTTCAGGAGCTTATTTGTTGCTCAAATAAGGCAGATTTGCAGGTTTTTAATGCCATAGAAATGAATGGAAACACGTGATTTGTGCATTATTGCGATTTTCTGCTCAAATGAAAATGTAAAAAAAAATTAATACATTTAAAATACAAATAAAAATATTCATAAATAAAATATGTAATAAATATTACTTAACCCATAACCTTAACCCCCAACCCTAAAAAATGTACATTATTAATAATAATAAAAAAAGTATTCATTTTATATTAGGCTTAGGGTATTGATTAATATTATTCGTTTAATTTCTATTAAGAAATAAGGGTTATTTATTTATTGCATTATGATTACTTTTATTTATTTGAAAGCTGCAAAAGCTGAAAAACCTAGCAAGAAAGGATGCAACAAATGATATTTTTCTCTATTGTCTAATGAAAAAATGCCAAAGCTCAAAAACGTCTGAAAAACGCTGTATAAAAACACACAAACATGCGAAAAACATTTTAATTTGCTACGCTCAAGTTTGAATGCAGCCTTAAAGAGGAGTTCCAGGCTCCCGCCCCAACCCCCAACAAAAAAAGGCAGTAGCTGCTGACTTCTAATATAAAGACACTTACCTGTCCAGGGGGGTCCAGTGACAGTCACCCGTGCTAGTTGTTCGCTTTGCTCTGTGTTCCCAGCGCTGGCATCTTCAGTAGGGGAAACAGGAAGTGAAGCCTTTGCGGCTTCACAGCCGGTTTCTTATTGTGCATGCACAATTTGCGCTGCGCCTTGTGATTGGTCCTGTAGTCTACCGGGCCCTATGAAGTGGGTCCCAGAAGACTGCAGGGGGAAGGAGGGGAGGGCTACATTTCCAGGTGATCCACTGTCAAAATCAGGTAGGGCGCAAACAAGCAGAGCTTCCCCCTTTTGGGTGGAGCTCTGCTTTAAGCAGAATGGAAGACTGGACCCTGCGACAATAAATCTGGCCAATCTAGAAAATATCCCAGCTTATCTAACAAGAGGTATATGATATCTGTATATCACCTACTTCTTGGACAAGCAGGCAAGATCAAAATCACTGAAATACCTCCAACCTGTATCTTCTGCAACAGGCAAAGAAGAAGCTGTAGCTGAGGGAAAGTGTAGATCAGAGAAAAATGACTAAGGATTAACTAGGGTACCTACCACAAACATTCCTGGTTTGGGACACAAACCTGTTCAGTTTGCCATTAAATCTGGGCCCTAGAGATCCAAATCCAGAGAAGAGACTCCAGGATTCAGTTGTTGACGGTTCAGAAAACATACCTGTCAATTTTCCACACCGGGAATGTGCATGGCGGAGAGGGCCGGAATGTGAAGTTCTGGCCTAGACAAAATTAGATCTGCTTCTTCCTCAGACTAGCTCTTCTTGTCTCTCCTTAAAGGATGATGTATGCTGCAGCTGTGCATTGCCAAACTGCATCTTGGTAGGGAGACCTTGAAGGAAGACAGACCAGTGTAAGTAAGCCAGAGCTCCAGGATTTCGATTAACTCCTCTGACAACCATATTCCTTAAACTGCAAGGTTCTCTAGAACACCTCCCCAGTCTGACAAGCTGCTGCCCATCAAGACCTTCAACTTCACCGGTAGGAAAGAGTTCTCGATTTCCAGCATCAGCATAGACATCCGTTTCAGAGATGATTGAGCCTTGGGAGACAGATGCATCAGCAGATCCAATAGTTATGGATGTTTGTCCTGTATTGACAGAGTATTGAGCTTAAAAGCACTGGAGTGAAACGTGGACTAGGGGACCACATCAAAGACAGACCTAAAATGAGACTTTCCAACAACATCAGGGACGCCATCTCAGAACAAAGACAAACATTTCTCCTGCGGAAGCAGTGCCTTAGCCTGTGCCATGTGAAGCCTTAAACCTAAATACTCTAGACATTGTGTTGGAACCAAGGCCGAATTCTGAAAGATCAGCAACCAACATAACCATTCCAGGACCTATACCATCTGCTGGACTTTGGCCATCAGCTTGTGAGCCGATTGCCCTGAGAAGTAGGTTGCCCAGGTACCTCACCAATGGGAATACCCAAAGT